CCACCACCCCCGAATGTATTCGGAAGTTGAAGGCGCCACAAGAAAACCTATCCCAGTCCTAGTGGAGTATAAGACGTACGAACGATGCAGTGTGTAGTTGTCTTTAAATAAGCACCTAATGCTAGAGATAGGGAATGCGGTAGTGGTCTGATGGCTCAGTGGGAGTGACCATTATTTGTATGTGAAGTACCTTCATCGGCGAGCCCGGCCAGTCACAGAAGGCGAAGGAAATTACAGAGGGGATCCGATGGCGGTGGAATCCAATATATGTAAAGTGCAGAAGCTGATAACCGTAATCTACCAAGCCGAATGGGATCGAATGATGCTCGGATCCCAAATTCTAGCCTTGATTCAAATCCTCAACTAAGGTTCAATCAATCACTTGGCCAGAGAGTCTGTTTGCCCGCTATGTCGGGCGCCCCCCCCTGCACGGTGGATGCAGTATTAAAATATTATAAATATGAATAGGGCCCGGCTCTCGCGCAACGCTGAAGTATGGTGAATCTAATAACGGGGGTGTGTGTATGCTCGGCGGTGGGGATGACGTGATTATTCATCTCACGCCAATATGCACTCTAAGTGGTCAGCATGGTCACGGGCTAGACGTGGTTCTGTGGCACTTACTCAGTATGAATGCTGGTGACCCGACATCCAAGGATTAGCGGTATCAACGCCTCTTGCTTGTGGGGCTAAATCGCATGCGAAATTGATTTCTTTATTTCCTATGAGGGAAGTAAGCTCGGGCCTCCGGAACCCCTCACGGCCCGGCCTCCCACATCCATACCCGAGTTCTAGATGTGTCTCTTGTTTTGTTTGTTCTTTGGTTTGTAGGAGTAAAAGCGGTGTGGTGGAGTGCCCATTTAGAAGAAAGAGCAGCAGGTAAGAATTGGGTTGTCCGTACAGGTCTACCAGTGAGGGTGCGGCCTTCAGTGTGTACTTGATCCGATGCTACCACTTACCTATACAAAGGAAAGCTAGCAAAGTTAATGCGACTTCACTGTGTAGCAGGTTGTATCATACTCATGCTGGCCCTATTGCCTCACATTAACATCTCCATCAATAATTGTCATGCTTAGTCACCATCTAGACTTTTGCGGCTCTAATCAGGTGTTGTATGGATGGGGACAACCGACATGAGGCTCGGCAATCCAACCACGATAAATTCCAGGTTGCCAAGGCAACTTCGATGGATTGTCGGTTGAGCCCCACTTCTGTGTTAATTTTCGGCGACGCAGAAGGGTGCGCAGACTGGGTGAACAAAGTTGATGATGGATCATCTAGTGCCAGCGATGAAGGAGCAGGGACCGCGCTGGTCAACAACGGACATGAGGATATGGGTGTGGACCCACAAGCGATTCAAGATGACCAGTTCTTTGGCAATGAGGGGCCGGCCCATAACCTTTGCGACACCGGGATCGAAAACCTCATTTGTAGGAAGGGGTCCCGGTATGCTGCATTTTGGTCCGGATAGGCAGGGGGTGAGGTTAGACGGTGCAGTTGTGGGGAGTAGTGGTGAAGACATGGGCGGGGCGGGGGCGGGGGCGGAAGACGAAGATGCGGATTAAGAGGCGGTAAGATCTGCGCCTAATCTTAGACAAATTCTAGGGAGCACTACAAACTGGAGATGTATTGTCCTATGGAGGTTGTGGCCGGAGGAGTTTGCCGTAGTGGGATTTGCGGATGGGAAAAGGGTTTGTCGGTAACTTGGTATGCTTCCCACTCCCCTTCTTCTAAGAATCAAGCAATTAGCGGGTCGCCAGCCAATTTTATCAACCATCCACATCCTCTCCCGCGACTCCCTTCTCCTCTCCACAGATCCCAACGAAATCCTCCGGCTCTACTGCACAAACGGCACTACGGACCCCCCCCACGCCAGATCCCGGCACCTGCACAACACCCCTATATCAACAGCCCACTTCTACCTACCCGGCACAAGCACAATCTCCACCGGCAGGCGGAAATCTCTCTGCATCCTGTCGACAGGCACGATCCAAAGTAACTCGGGTATACGCTTGCACGGAGCTGCAGAGGTTAAGGGAGACCTTCCACATCTCCCAAGGCGGAAAATTCACGGCTCTCGCCGCCAGGCGTGTTTTTACCGACGTCCTAAACACCGCATACCGTTGAACCTACGCGGCAAGGATCGAAGGCTGGGGCGCAGAAGTGCCCTGGTGTGGTGATAGTGGTGGCCTCACGGTGGGGAATAAGGTAGGCAGGGTACGGGAAATCGACGCACCCTTGAGAATGGTGGCTCCACGCTGGGAAGACCAGGGCTGACACATGGCCACCATCCTCAACAACAGCGGGGCCGGGTGGATGGCCACCGGTGGCCGGAACAGCGTAAATATCCGATCACACTAGGAGCTACGGTCACGGTAGCAATGCCCCCATCGGCGCAACCAAGGAAAGCACAAAGCCAGCTAGGGTACCCGGGTGATTGGTCACGGCCATCGGCATTATTTGGTCCCTGCCTAGCCACCGGATCCTCGTTACGGGGAGTAAATGGAAGAAGGGAGTTTGGAGGATGGGCACGTTCACGTCCCCCCCACCTTTATATGGCTGGCTATCTAATGAATGATGTTAACTTTTGTGCAGTGCATTCTCCGGCTTGTGCAGTCCACCAGAATTGGCCCCCGTCCTAGGCTCCCCTAGGTAGCGTCATGGCGATAGGTTGGGCGGGGAAGGAGAGGGGAGCAGTGGCCATCAGGAATGGATCTGGAAAGGTTAAGCTCTTGGGGTATAGTCTTAACTTGACTGAACAAAATTTATGGTTACAGATTATGCAGAAATATAGTGCTTGTGTTGTAACTACTAAGGACAATCCGTAGTAATTCTAACCTCTTCATTCGCTCAGTTTTCTGATCTTGGCACAGGTGGGCTAATCCTTGAACTTCTGCTTTCCCGTATGCTCCCTTTCGTCGCCAAATCAGAGACGGTAGTTCGGTGAGCACAGGAGGGGCACAAGAAGATTCTTTGACCGGACCACCCCTACACCCTAACATGTTTTAGCGACCTGGCTGCGGTGTTCTGATGCCAGGACAAACGCAACCGATCAGAGGCAAGGAATCGGCACGCACTAGAGGGACACTAGAAGATTCCCGGGCCCGACCCGCCAGGGGCCCAATTAAGTTCCAACTGCCTAGCTACGGTACTACGGCTCCAGTGGGAATGGAGTGACGTTCGGAGACAATGAGACAGCGCAGCAGACACTGCGAGGAAACCTAGAGGATATGCGGCAGTAGTTTTGTTGCCCTGTTGCCCGTTATTTTCCGGAGCGCTTCAGTCCTTCTCACGAGAGACAGGTGGACAAAACGATCTACCGGATTGCCGGTAGTTTGTCAGGACTAGAGGCGACAGGAGTGGCTACCAGTTTCTCCGGGCGTAGGAGAGCCTAGGGGACTACGGGGGGGGGGGGGGGTGATTGTAGAGAGTGCCGGACTAACAGAAATAACGAACTAGAGTTCTCGAGTGGCAAGCCATTGAAGTGTAGCATGGAGAAAATATCTGTAATGTTGGGCGTTTTTGCACCCTTTTCGCAGAGCTATTGGTTCACGTTTAATACGAAATGACGTCATATGCATTCTCACCTCGCAAGCTCCCTGTGGTCCTTCCTTCACCACTGAGGTTCATAGGATAGTGACGATTGGGTACCGGTTATTGACAATGCCGATAACGAGGAGCATTTTACCCGCAACAGTGGTCACATCTCCAAACTTCTCCTACAAGGGTGTCTGGGTACTCTAATATTGACCATCAGATCACCCCGGGTTGCATCTTGTCAAAGCCGCAACAGGATCGATGGGGGAAAATTGGAGGCGGGTGGAGCACAAGGATTGTTTTTGAAACGCTTGAGTAACTAGAAAAATTCCAGAGATGAAGAGAAAGAAGCTATTAAAATGACCTTGAACTCCATACATCACACCCCGCTGGTTACCGGAGGTGCGGCATCCTTCATGGCAAAAACCCAGACAGCGCCATCCAGCTGCTAGACAATTTTCCGGGGAAGCGGCAAACACGCAAAGAGGCTACTTTCACATCCGTTTTGTGATGCCCAACGGGAGGCTGATATGACCGAAAGAATCCTAGCTACGTACTTTGTCACCTTTACCCGAACTACAGAGCAGATGTCCCTAGCGGCGGATCTTTTGGATCTAATTGTATCCGTCGATCCTCAGAACATACCCGAAGCGCTAATAATTCAAAGTAGTTTGGAAGGGATAGATGACCAAATTCACTTTCGCTAGGCTATCAGAAAGGCATTAAGATTTTCGCTAGTTACGGCTGTCAGATTGAGGATAAGGCATTTCACGGGCTTCACGGGTTGGTGCAACTGGCTTTACAAGCGTAACTTATTTAGCAATTGAAGAGCTGGATCGGTCGAGGGCTGCTGCCCCGAAAGTGGTTTCAATGGGTTTCCCTTGCCATAGCAACACATGAATATATATTAGTTGTACATACATTCTACATGTACAGTACTTGTGGTAACTAAAGATTCAAGAGATCAGGTTTCCGAAGAGCTATGTTTTCGCCTGGGATAGTATTTCTATATACGAGTTTCTACTAGCACATAGAAATTCAATGGGGTTGATGAATTGCACTACGAGAAGACTATAAACAGTGTGGTTGAGACGAGAGTGGTTAGAGGAGAGTTGTGATTTTTTTTTTGGGGGGGGGGAGGTATCAAGGAAAGGCGGAAGTGGCGGAGAAGACACTTCGGAATTCATTAGAGGATATCACGGTAAGGAATAATTGAATCGAGATAACCTCAACATCCTGAAGACCTCCCACCATCTGGCCATAGCGCTACTATACAGAGGGAAGTACGATAAATCAGAGATAGTCAATCGGCGTGTACTCGAGGAGTGCGAGAAGATTCTTCTTGGACTAGACAACCCGGCTATGGTGCTGGGGTTACAAAAAGTGTCTGCCGATTCAAAGATGACAAGGCGGCGTCAATGGGGGGGGCGCTGCCAAGGGTTGGAAATCGTGAGGTGCGGCTCGGCAAGCTCTCACAATGGGTCGTCTGGTCAGATAATCTATGGAAGCGCGTTTTGGTTTCGGACGCACTCTGACTGCGGGCGCACTTTGGTTTCCACCCGCATAGCTTGGCTTTTCAGGAAAGCACTTCGGCCGCGGGAATGCGCGGGAGTCTTGGAGCAATACATCCACTGGAACGAAAGCGAAAAGGCCGTGAGTAAGGCCGTATGGAGACCAGAGGGAGTTGGGCTTTTATTTGTTAGCGCGGGAGTCATAGAAGGCAGAAGGGGGAACACGAGCAATAGTGTGGACAAGTGTGGTAGTCCACGAAGGGATAGAAGGATTTTGTTTGAAGTTTTGACATTGACGCGTGCTCCTGTCTTTGCCGTTAGTTAGTTGAGTGCGATACTGAAAGAGAAGGCCAAGGAAAGAGTTTTACCCTGCCCGTCAGTTGTGCAATGGTTTTCTTTTCGTGTGTGGGGTCTTTGGATTTTGTTTCGTGGTGTCCATTGTACGCCATTGGCGCCGTTTCACCATTTACCCGTTTCGTTTAAGTTCACAGCACTTCATTGGTTCGTTCCGCCGTTTATTTGTTCGCTTCATCGTTTCAGTTGCTATACTACACCGATCCGACGCCCAAAGCCAAGAAACCCACCATCTGGGTCAGGGCAATGCATGGAGGGCTTGCACATATTGAGTTTTGCAAGTTTGGACATTATTTTCCACGCGTGACACTAAATAAACCATTAATTTTAACTATGCTGTTCCTACCTGGAGACGTCAGGGCCTGCAACACCGGGGGGTCTTGTTGGTAGAGATTGATATCAAAATAAACCATAGGCTCTCAGGATCTCCTCCGGATTAGCATACCTGTAGGAGTTATCGTTACTCGTAATATCGTAATATCGCTCTCACTAGATTTTAGTATTTGTGTCATTACCACATTCTTTTCAGTAGTGCAAACGGTACTTGGCAATCCAAAAAGTCTCCGGACACTTTTGGCCTTGGCGCCAAGGCCTCCAAGGGAAATCTGTTTCTTGATTTATCCGTCCATGCAGGTAGGACAACTATAGTGTTTTAATACTGTCCAATGTGATTTTAACAGATAAATCAATCAAGATTTGAGGTGAGAGTTCCAGACAACAAATTCTTTTAACAACTAGTGACCTGGAATTGTATTAGGCTCACAGATTACACCCAGGCACTGTGCTGTTGTCATTACCCATCGAAAGGCCCTGAAATCAATTAGTTATTGTCAGATTCACCAAGTAACTATGATTCCAGTATCAACTTGAACCGCAAATGATATCTGGATCCACATTGTTACAAATGCCCGGAAAGTAAGGATTAAAAAGGAGGAAAGTTTAGAAGAACAATTTTCTATGGGCAAGCTGGTTTCCACTGTAACGTGTTCACACGAGAGTGCAAACATCAGCAAAAAAAAACTCTGCATCTGATGCGTGGGCGGCGGGTCCTGACGCCGAGTTTTATTTTTTTGCGTCTCCTGCGTCCTGTGCGTGCTGTTTCTGGTTGCAACGCCCCAATGCGTGCGGTGCGTCTGGGCTTCCAGCCCCCACGCCCCCCTAGGTCCTCTGAGTCCCGTCACCACTCCCCTCGCATGCTCACCTCCGGTACCCTCTGGCCCCTTGGTCGAACGTCTGGATCACGTCCCTACGCTGCTACTGCAAAACCGTCGCTCTGATCACATCACTCGCGGCCTTGCGTCTGCCTCACCACCTGACGCTCAGCCCCACCCTCCATCCTCAGGATTCCTGCCTGGTGCCCCCCTCTGTCACCGCGACATCCGGACCACGTCCTACGGCAGCCAACCCTCCTTTCAAACCCCTACGATGAGCTCCTAGTGTCACCCCCTCCTGATGCTCCGCTCCGGGCTTCTTTCTCCGGATTCCCTCATGGCATCACGCGACAATCCTACAATCCGTCCAGTTCCTCCTGCCTGCTCTCGCCACTTAGGGATAACGACACACTTGAAACGCAACACTCGCTACGCTCCCGATTACGCTCTCCTGTGTTGTCTGCTGGTGGCGATCCGTATGCATGCCTCCCTACGTTGCCGCGACGTTCATACCAGTTGATAGACATCGGAGCCTGCCTCGCGTCCCCTATCCATGATATCGACGACCCCTTGCGGGCAAGCATGTCATGGTTTCCTCACAGCCGGTTTGCGGATCCTCCAGTGGACACTTGATTTCTCGCACTTTGTCTTAATCATGTTATATTATTTCTACGTACAGCTTGCTATAACGAGACCTTCATCATTCTATGCCCATATTGCCTGTTTGTCGTAGGAGGATTCGCGTCTGGTGTTAGAAGTTCTGAGTATCGCATAATCAATGCGTCTGCACGACGTTTGTCAATATATTTCACTCAACATCCTTAAATCAATGCAAGTGTTGACAAGCCATCGCCCGTCTGCCTCCGGAACCAGGTGGGCTTGCCCAAGTATCGTGCCTATCTCCACTATGGTAAACCTTCTCGCATCGGGTCTAAGCTGAAAGGTGACAAGATTGTGTAATTCTGACGGATGCCCGGAGTTAACTGCACTCAATATGTGAACACAAGCGAGTCGATGTATTGTCTTCTGGCGCCTACAATCTCGCAGTTTGAAGAGTGCCATGACCTTTCCCGGAAGACGGCCGCGGAGCGCACCATGCATTTGCTCCCCGCCTGCCTGGACCCAAACCCAATCATTCCGACTAGCCTAGTTTCGAAAAAGCCCGGATCCCGTAGATCTTGCCCTGTGGATGTCGTAAATATCGCTTTCCTGAAAGGCAGGAACTGGGATTTCGAGTTGCCTCAGTAGTTCAACGGGAAGGAGTGGAAGTATGGCAGCATCGTCGGGGAGGCGACGCTCTACAGGCAGCGTCTGGCGGCTATATAGGATCAATTCAGTACTCATGTTTTCGCTGGTGATACTCAGGGCATTGCCAAATTCGACCAGACATGCAACATCACCACGGTACCCCTTGAGCACTCGAAGATGGGACTCAGCGCCCGGTGCACGTCCGGTACCGGTTTTGTTCAAAAGGTCGACAACGTCTGCAGGAATATGAGCTCCTTGGCGTCTTAGTGAATCTAGGTTCAAAAGCCTCATTCGGATCCCCTGTTGTCGGCTATAGCTGCTCAGAATCTGCCTGGAGGTGTCGTTTTTATTCCATCGTGGCCATCCGTCCTTAATCTGATCCTTATGCGCAAGCTCCCCAAATTCAGTTGAATACATGGCAATATTTCCAAACTGGTATATGTGATCATAGAAGTGAGATAGTAGATGCATCTTGCTGAAGTTGAAATGACATTTTGACTGAATCAATACCATTCGTTGGTCGTCCTCCTGCCCGCTATGCTGCTCGCCCATTTTCCCTACCTTCGACCTGGGGTGAGATTCATTCAACTGGGCTGGCTGATGCCGTATCCCGCGGACCTGATCCTTAAGTTCAGCTCGTGTCTGTTTCGACATTCAAAATTCTAAGAAGATATCCTTCGTGGCGTGAAACCTGTCGACATATTATTCTATATAACCTATAGTCTCTGCTGTATGACTTTTATATTGTGCTATCAAACTGAAATCGAGTAATGACCCGATGCAAGCAAGCGCACGTTTGAAAGGTAGCTGTTGCGCACCGTCCGGCAGTCTCAACGCCACAGCTAAAAGTGCTAAAAGACATCGCCCCAAATTTGGCATCTCTTTCCCTTGCCACTGCGTAACCTCACGGTAAGCTTTTTTGGGAACAAAGAACTCTGGGTATGCCAGCAAAGACTTCCAAGCATTATCAAATGCTTGTAGTTGCCCATGTTTCTTGAGCAAGCCTTGAATCCAATCCATCATGTGCTCACACAGTCCGAGGTACATCAGCAAAAAAAGATCCTTGCATCATGTGCGTCCTGTGCGTCTGACGCACTGGACGCACCGGACGCAAACCATTACTCAGGACGCGAGGCCCTGGCGCCCTGGTGCCCGAACTCCACCCTTTCTCGTTGCCGCGCCCTGCTCCCATCTGGACGTCGCTCCCGGCGCCCGCTACGTCCGGGCTGTCTATGCCGCACCCCCTCATCGTCCCAACCCCCCGGCACCTGAGCACATCGCGCTGTAACTACCGCACTCCTCCCTTTCTCCATCCTGATCGCAATACTGAATCCTCCCCTCTCCTAACTCGGTTAACCGCACGCCTCACCGTCTGGACTCGACGCCCCATCTCCTTGACAACTGTGGGCGGTTCTGGTATGTTCGTCCTCCTATCTGGACGCCTACATAGCTCTGTTGCTTGATCCGGATATCATGGTATCTGCTTGCGAAATCCTGGCACCCCGTGAATATTTCGTCTGTGATCTGGATCATTCCCGGCCCCCATTTCGGTCTGGTGTCATGTTCTCTACGCACACGTCCGGATTGATACCCTTTTCTCACAATTTCTACCGTTGAGCCTGGTTCTGCGTTCTTCACCTTTGGCTCTTTTACAGTGCACGATTGCCTCGTGAACTTCAAGTTTCGTACAAGTAGCTACACTGGCATGACGTCTATTGAGTTCAGCGTCACGTCATCTCTCTGCAATTTATTCCCTTATTACATGTATTCCTCCCCCTCGTCAATTCTCCTAAAATACCCTCTCCCCCTCGTCAA